AATTTACGGGTAAGCATTGGGAAGCCAAAAAATGGCTGCTAGCCGCCAAGATTCCACCGATGCACTCGACCGTGGAACAGCGTGGGCTTGAGCGTCCAAGCCCAGTCAATAAAAAAACTATCAACTCTATAAGAAGTTCAAGCTGTGTATCCCGCTCATTGTGAGCGATAATCAATCTATAGGCGAGGCGCAGGGGCGCTGAAAGTACTTCTTTCTCCATTCTCTAAATGACAAGATGGGAAAGAAGAAGTGAAGCTGGAAGAGCGCCCGAAATTAAGAGGTCAAATGCAAGATGTCAGGAACGGTTGACCAAGAACTGAACTTAGAGGTTATTGGTTGGAGAGACACTGAGATTCACTAAGGGGAACAAACGGGGTCGAATTCAAGCCGTGTATGAAATCAATTCCTAGATAGTTTTCGTACTGCGTTGGACCGAACAGTTGGTTTCAAAAAGAACCGATTCTTGGGGAGTGTCCTCCTAGGATCAAGTGTGCCATGAACTTTTCTATGCCCTGTGTATTCGCCATTGAAACGTCATTATAACTCTGCATTTTCATCACGAGTACCTTTCCTCCTAATGACTCGTGACAACGACGGCGGCTTGCTTTCCCGCCCGTTTGTGCATCACCTCCGCCTCCTTGTGCCGTCCTTGTTTCTGAAAGAGGTCGCCGATATTGTTGGCTACATTGAGCGTCTGTCTATGCTCAGGTCCCAATAACTTCTCGTAGCCTTCTAGCGCCGGTTTGTGCATCACCTCCGCCTCCTTGTGCCGTCCTTGTTTCTGATAGAGCTTGCCGAGATTGTTGGCTACAATGAGCGTCTGTCTATACTCAGGTCCCAATACCTTCTCGTAGCCTTCTAGCGCCCGGTCGTACATCGCCTCCGCTTCCACATATCGCCCTTGGTCTCTATAGAGGGTTCCAAGATTGTTGACTGTTTGGAGTGTCGACGTATGCTCCAGTCCCCGTGCCTTCTCAGAGCCTTCCAGCGCGCGCTTGTACATCACCTCTGACTCGTCATATCGCCCTTGGTTCTCATAGACGACCCCAAGATTGCCGAGAGCGAGGAGCGTCGACGGATGGCCTCGTCCCCATAATACCTTCTCATGGCCTTCTAGCACCCGCTTTTTCATCACTTCGGCCTCCTTATATCGCCCTTGGTGCATATAGACATTTCCAAGATTCAAAACCATCCCGAGCGTCGACGTATCTTCCGGTCCAAATGCCCTCTCGTGACCTTCTATGTGACGAATCGTCTCTCAACCACACTCTGAAAGGGTTCACTGAAGGTATGTCGTAAGGGTTGTGATTCGGTGCAGCCAAAGGGTGCACAACAAGATAATGATCTGGTCTCAATGTTCGTAGCAATTGGTAGCGAACAAGTTGTATTGCTTCCTGGAGAACTGCCAGAGTCCTCCAGAACGAGTGACTAATATACTATCTAAAAGGGCTGGCTCGCCGTGGCTCGCCAGCTACCGTATTCTACCTTCGCTCGCCCTGGGTAGCCGTCTACCTGAGGCTATCGTGCTCGCTGGCGCTCGCCTGCGAGCGGGTGCTACCGTGTTTTGCCTTGGGCCGCCCTTCATGCGGCCGTCCCGATCCTGCCTTGGTCCCATTGGCTGTGCTATTCCGTCTATGCCCCACCAGGGTCGCCCTATATGGTTGGTTCGTGACATTCTAGGGCCCGTTTGTACAGCACCTCCGCCTCCTCAAATCGCTCCCGATCCACATAGACATTTCCAAGATTGCTGACTGTCTCGAGCGTCGATATATGCTCCGTTCCCAACACCTTCTCGCGGCCTCTTAGCGCTCGCTCGTACATATCCGCCGCTTCGTTATATCGCCCTTGGTATAGGTAGGTGCTCGCAAGCTCGTTGACTAGGTTGAGCGTCCACGTATCATCCAGCCCCCTCGCCTTCTCGAAGACTTCCAGTGCTCGCTTGTACATCGCCTCCGCCTCCTTATATCGCGCTTGGTCCATGTAGAGCTTTCCGAGAGCGGTTGAGATCCAGGGGATGCTCTCATCATCATCTACCTCGTCTAGCAGTTGTCGGCATCGATCAGCATGGGGCAAAAGTCGGCGTTCAATCACCCAGTATTCTCGAATCTCCTCTCCTCGCTCATGCAGACTTATACATTCCATTGCCGGCACCGCCAAGACTCGCTCGTTCGCGTCATTCAGCACGTGTATCATCCATGAGTGTACACAAGCGTGTACACTATAGCCCCTTGACTCCGGCCTCCTTTGCGCTGTTATCGAATGTGCTTCCACAAGTCCGTGACTACAGAGGAGCCGCATGCTTTCCTCGAATGCGAGCCGGGTCTCTGTAAGATCTTGGAGCCACTTCGGGCCAACCCATGTACATCCTGCCCGCAGTAACTCGTACCACAAGTCTTCCTTGTCGAAGAATGCCCACAATCGCAGCAGCATCGCAGCGGATTCGTTCTGGCGGCGAACGCTCGCATATGAGATGTTCCAAGTTGAGTACAGGGTACGATTCTCATACGTCCGGAGCTGCGGGCTCAGTTTCTGCAACTGACCCCACTCCGTCGTGTGATCTTGTAGATATTGTCCCCACGATGTCGAGACCTCCTTGAGATATGTACCAGCCGTCGATAAGGCGAGCGGTAGACCATCAAGTTTGCGGGCAAGGTCCACAGCGGCAGAATCTATCATTGGGAGAACTTGTTAGGAGCGTGCATATTGACCAAGGTCGGGGAATAACCACGTACCATCTCGGGCTCCAGTGCGACCCGATGTCGACTCTAGAATCCGAAGACTGTCCTCAATGTTTTGCAATTTCCGCAATCTCAGAAGCTCCCCGATCTGAACTGTTGATGATCGCGTCGTCACAATGACCGCTCCATGATCTGTGTCCGGGAAGTACTGGCGAATGTCGTAGCCCTCTGGCACTGGTTCACCCGCCTCATCATGCCACTCTAAATCGCCGCCGTCCCCAGTCGGAGCTTCGTTGGTGTCGCCTCCCATCTTGGGGTGGTCATAATTGTCGTAGATCAACAGCCATCGTTCATTCGCTGGTTCGTCCAACCACCTCCTGACAGCCAACGATGCATCGCCATCTTGGTCTGACACCGCGGCCTCCATGTAGCTTAGGTCGGGGTGCTCCCGAAGGATCCTTACAGCTGCGTTCCGGAAGCTATGCTTCAACGATGTTTCATCTCTTGCGTTCAGCCAAATTGAGGCAGAGTAGTCGTTCCTGTGCCGCTTCGTATATGCGATAGCGAGCTGTGTCTTGCCCATGCCCCCCAGACCATGCACGACTACAGTGCAACGTCCTGGCTGCCTGCAGAGCTTTTGACGCATCCATGCAAGCTCTTCTTCCCTGGCAACAAAGTGACTTGTTTCGGTCGTTCCCGACAGGCTTAGAGAAAGGGTGAAACGGTTGACGTTGCCTCGTGCTGGTTATATCCACCGTCAGTTAATATTCGGTACCTCTATACGCCGGCGCGCTTACCTTGATCTACTCTTGCTTCCGCCTCCCATCGCTTTCGGATATTGCCCGTGGCCTCCTTGGCCATGATCTTCAGGTGTTCCGACACCGTCGTATATCCGTCGTCCTGCCTTGATGGATATCGGACCATGGAGGTATGGTTTGCGTGGATGACGATCGGCTCGGCGCCTGCGTGTCCCGACACCACCGCTGATGCCGTTGGAACCACCTAATGTTGTTAGTACTAGTGTTAAGGGTGGCGGGTGGCGGTAGAAATCATGAACCTTGATGGTGCGTCCTAGGACCGTTGGAGTCTCATACTGCTCGTAGGCATACTTTGTCACGAAGTCGTTGCTGATCGGTCCGTATTGCTCCTGCTGTTGTTGCAACCATTCTGAATCCCGCTCGAGGTGCTTTAGAAGCCGGGCATCGGCTGCCACAAAGAGAGACGCTACATTGACGAGAAATTGCCCTAGCTGCACACCGTTTCCGCCCTGATGGGGAGTCCCCATGAACATAATTCCATGTGTCGACAATTTAATCGATCGGTGTTCGGGCAAGGCGCCCTCCCGGGCGGCGTCGGAAAGGATAAGAGCCTGACGGGGTCGGTCAATGAAGGATTATGTGTGAAGTCGAGCAGGTTGACCTACACTTTTGAGGACGAGCCCGCCCAGGCTGTGGGCCACAAAAATGATCGGCCGATCGATAGACTAAACGGCCGCTTAGTATCAGTGCAAGATGACAACGAGCACGCACACCCACATTCGTCAATTTTCGCTTCCTGTACAGGTCGGACACCAGGGTTCTCGCGTGGTTGTGGAGATACTGCGAGTTCACTCGGTCACTGGCATGGGTATTCGCGTCGTAGCCCCAGCAGAGGATGCGCGCTTGTGGAAGGTCTTCGGGGAGGAGGTCTCGGAGCCAGTGGACGCCATTTTTCGCCGTCCATGTTTTCTCTCGGTGGCCATTGAGGCCATGCAGTGCTACAATGCTGCCGTTGTGAGCCGGACAGGAACTAAAATATCCCTATAGGTAGATAGCACCTACTCAACTATCGGATTCTGCCCCTCGGAAACAACGTCTAGGCCTTGTGGGTGCCCCACAGCCTGACTCAGCGTGCGGGGAGCTGGGGATAGTGTCCGCTTCGTTCGATCCACCAAGCGGTTCGTTCGATCCACCAAGCGTGAAATCTTTGATGGAGCCATGTCGATTGCTGTCGTAGGCTTTGCATCAAACGTCTCGGTTTGCGTTAGGCGGGTGTGTAAGCCTCGAGATGGTCGACATCCTGCGGCTGAGGTCGGGCTGCAGGAAGGTTCCATTCGGGACGATCCTCCCCGGAACGGCTGGACCCGATCCCGTTGAGCTTGGTGCCAGAAAGCCCGATCGAAGATACTTTTAGTAGCTGGCATTGAAGTACTACATAGTATGTATGCCCGAGATCAAGACCCTCTGCATGAGCTAGCAAGCGATAGCAGGCTTCGAGAAACCTGCATCTGGTTCAATAAACGGAGCTTGGCACATGGAAATCAGAAGTGGAGCGAAAAAGAAATGCCTACTACAGGAATCGAACCTGTGATCTTTGCATGTTGTCGAGGATACAAGTGCAACGCATTAGCCACTATGCTAAGCAGGCCTTGAGTTGTGGAGGCGGCACTGGCAAAGCGCTTTTCTGCGTAAACGCAAGGCGAGGGGGGGTTCTCCTTCCCATTTCGCCGAATTGGCTTTGACCTCGCGGATAATATCATGATTGGAGTGTAATTACATACCTCAGTGACGCTCTTTCCATAGTATGCATCCACCGAAAATACAAATTCCAATGCAGCTTTCCGATTACAAATTGAGTGTAATGGCGCTCTTACATAGTCCAAAAACCCGGCGTGTCAGGGAAAAGAAGTCCTTAACTCACAGATATCTCTGTGGGTCGGGCTCCGGAGCCGGTTTATGCTTGGCACGAACCTCAACAAGACGACGTCGACAATACACTCAACAAAGTAAAGCGATGCCGGGAGTCGGCCCGCGGATTTGGCACCCAGCGATATGCCAAGCGCTCGGCGGGATTCATCGGACCTTTAGCGTTCAATTGGCAGGGAGAGAAGCAGAAGGGGGAACGCTGTTTTGGGTGAAAATGGTCTTAAATCTTGACGACCACGGACGGGGCAGCTCCTTTGGGTAGGTGGGTGGGCTGTCACTTACACCGGGCGGCCTATTCTCCGCCAACCAGCCATGGAGCTAAGTGTACCCCTGACAAGGCGATGTCGACATGAAAGGCGATTTCTGGGATGGAGTGAAAGCAGCAGTGCAATTTTACAAGCTTGATAAAGACTTGTCTTCCCGTTCTCATTTAGCACCGCTGATCGTGCTTCACTTGGTACACCTAATTCATAAATCAGTCACCAGTGCAAGGCCGTCTACAACCGGACAAATCATCAAAATGACCCCGTTGTCCACCACCCTACTCCTAAGCTCCCTTGCCAGCCTGGTTGCAGGCCACGGCTACCTCAAGAGCATCACGGTTAACGGTGAGAACTACCTCGCGTGGCAGGTCGGCCAGGACGACTATGTGACGCCGCCTCCGGTGCGATACGCCCGCAAGCTGGCTGACAACGGACCGGTCCCTGACTTTACTACCGCGAACATCACGTATATCCCCTCCTCCTGCTAGAAGAGCACTTTGAGGCTGGAGGATTGTCACTAACAGGTCTCATAGATGCGGTGCAGGGGGTAACATCCCCGCTGAAGGGGTTATTGAGCTTGCGGCTGGTGATACTGTGTAGGCATTCCGATCTGTTGGTCTTGGTCTCTTTACATTCGCTAATCAATGGTTTCAAAGGACGCTCAACTGGGACCAATGGGGTAGCAGTCACTCCGGGCCAGTCATGAAGTAAGATCTCTTTTCTTTCCAATACCCTATGTCGTGTGTTTCTCTTCTTTCTCTTCTTTCTCTTCTTTTCTGTTTTTCTTTCCTATTTTTCCTTTTTCCTTTTTCTCTTCTGTTCCTTTCTTTTCCTGTCTTTTCCTTTAATTTTTTTCTAGACTAACATATCTAGCTACCTCGCCCACTGCACCAACGACGATTGCAAGTCCTTCGCAGGCGACACCGGCGCCGTCTGGGTCAAGATCGAACAGCTCGCCTATAACCCCGCGGGTACCCCTCCCTGGGCGTCCGACCTGCTCCGCGAACAAGGCGCCAAGTGGAAGGTGATCATCCCGCCCACGCTTGCGCCGGGCGAATACCTGCTGCGGCACGAGATTTTGGGCCTGCACGTTGCGGGCACCAGGATGGGCGCGCAGTTCTACCCGAGCTGTACCCAGATCCGGGTTACGCAGGGTGGGAGTGCGGAGTTGCCGGAGGGGATTGCGCTGCCGGGGGCTTATGATCCGGATGATGCGGGTGTGAGTACCTATTTTGGAGTGCAAAATTTGGGCTGAAGATTGCTGACGGGTACATCACTAGATCCTGACCGAGTTGTGGAGGATTAATCAAGGACAGATCAACTATACGGCTCCTGGGGGACCGGTCTGGAGCGAGGCCGCGCCGGACGCGAACAGAGAGGGGCCATGAGGTAGAACAAGTGGCTTTCAGTTTCAAGGTAAGGGCAGCCATACAAGCGATATCAGGAACCAAATAGGCCAAATAGTACACAATAACTACGCCGTCCTGGGATATCTCTAAAGTCGAGGTCTACAGAGCTGCAGGTTAAGAATGCTGTTACAATACGTCACTGTTCTGGCTTCAACACCCGAATCGGCAATCCCTCCTTTTTTTCCGTCTGCCTTTTCCGCTCCTCCTCCCCATCCCGCAACCGAACCGGCAACGACTCTTCGGCAAGTCTTTGCACACGATGTACTGTGGCCCTACCGACATGTACTTCGGGCAAGTCCGTGTCTTCGTAATCCTCAAAGTCAGGCAAATCATCCGGAGTCTCCTCCGCCCGCCTGGCCTTCTTGTTACCATGTTCCACGTATTTCTCCTTCTCCTCCACCCGCTTCCGCTTCCCGTGGCCCTTATCATCATCATCATCCGACCCTGTCGCCGGGTTCCATTCCCCCCTTAGTGCTCGTTCCAGTTTCCGGCCAAACATGTGCGCCTGCTGAATCTGCACGCATTCCGTGTTTAGGTTATAATGCTGACTGAAATATTTTTCAATCATTTTCTCTAGGTCAGCCCGGACATCCTCCTGATGCTGCCGTTTCAGTGGATTCCACTCCGCCTTGCTCTTGACCGGCATGCACGCTGTCGATGGCTGTGTCCACCGAACAGACCTCGCCTTTTCATCCACCGGCTCACCATCACCACCGTTGTTTACCCCATCACCCCGCCGGTAGGCATCCACATACCCATCCGCCAGCGCGATCATCGTCCCGAACACAAAATCATTCGGCGGCCAATCCACCCAATCCTCCCCCGTCCTCCGTGGACTCCGCATCAGCATCTCATCCCACGTCGCCGCAATGGCTGTCGGCACCAACCTCTGCATCTCCATCCAGCACCTCACCAAATCGTCACTGTACCCGCGCTGGTAGATATCATTCGTAGGCGCCACCCGGAACCGCTCCGTCCCCTCTACGCCGTCCTGCCTTTCGAGATTCTCTTCGCTTGCATTAAACGACGGCACCATCATGCACAACAACGCCCTGCCCAGTTCGCCCTTATCCTTCCACGTCGACGGTTCCGGCAGGCCGGGGTTAACGGCCACGCGGAGCTCGCCGTAGCGGTCGTTGTGGGCTTGGAAGGACATGCCAAAGTCGCCGAGGATGATTTGCGGGAGGGTGTCGGTGAAGCGTTCGAGTGAGGGGTCGGCCTGCTTTTCGGCCTCGGTTGGGTAGTGTAGCCAGATGTTGAAGACGTGCATGTCCTGGTGGCAGATGGGTTGCCAAGGTTGGGGAGGTGGGGGATTCCCCTGGCGGGCGTGGTTGACTGGTTGGTTTGGTTGCCAGATATGGTTTTGGTGTTGGAGGTTGTAGGCTCGCGACGGGGTGTACCCTGTGTGTAACCAGCAGAGGGCGCGGCCGACTTCGGCTAGGACGTGCCAGATGAACACTTCGGGGATTTTTCCCCCAGTCCAGTCGCGGTACTGCTGGATTAGGTGGCCCAGGGTGCCGCCGTTGTAGTACTTGTAGAATAGCGTGATGTCGTCTTTTTGTTTGGGCTCGTCAGGCCCTGGCACGATGGCTTTGCCAATGGCATCACGGGGCTGGAGCTCGTGGATCTGGAAGGCGTATAGCTGCGGGAACGCTGTCGAACCCTCGTTGACGTGGTCGTACAGAGGCAGCTGGCGTTGGACGTAGGGGTGGGTGGTGGTTGACAGCGTCGACTGCTCGATCTCGGCCGGCATCGGGTGGCGGTTATCGGCCGCTTGTAAGTACCGGTCGATTTTGCATAGCTTCTTGATCACGACCAGCTCCTGGGGCCGGTCGAGGCTGGCGTAAAGCGCTACTACTGGCCTGTCGCTTTCGGACGTGTCAATACTTTGTAACCAGCGGGTGAACACAAAACCGCGCTGCCTGGCTCTGAGGTACTGTGTCGATTCGTTGTCTTCTGAGGTCTCTGAGGTGTTGAGATGTTCCTGGGGTGCGATTTCAGGCACTTCCAGGGGGTAGAACACCAGCGTCTGGTGAGAGTATTGGACTGGTGCCATGACGTTGGCCGGCGGGACGAGCTGTGACATGACCGACAGCAGGAAGGAAACAAGAAGAAAGCACAGCAATCAGAGACCGTCGGTCGTGTGAGTTGTGAGAAAAGAGACTATTTTGACTGAGAGGGAGAGTGTTTGTTATGTCGGAACCCCATGGTTGGAAGTTGACTCGAAAGCGACCGAGACTTTCAGTCTTCAGAGCGTTTGTTTGTCTGGCCGCCCATTGTAGGTCTTTCTCCAGACGTCCATTGTTGACTGACTTGACTCAAAATAAAGGAGGAGCCGAAAGCATCAGCCCAGCACACAGATTATCCGGACAAAGCACAAAGAGATACCGCCGAAGATTTAGGATCAACTAGACAATGCCATACTAAAAGACTTGCTGTCGCCGCCTAATGTGCATTTGTGACTTGTCGAATGTGGTGTCGAACCCGATGGTAATGATAATTTATCTGAACCTAAATTTTAAGCAGGGGAGCTCCTTCTCTCTCACCAGCCACTCACATTTTTCTATCTCATTTGTTTGGACCACAGGCCAACGGCTCGTCGCGAGTAACTGGGCCATTTCAAGCCAAACTCTCTTGAGGAAGTTGCTGCTGGGCACTGGCCGGCCGTGAGTGTGCACTGTGCAGTGATTTGCACGGATAGGTCGCAATGATGAATCCTGTTGTTCTTGAAAGATGATACTGGACCTTTTAGTAGGACAGTCCGATCGATCAGCGTGCAGCGAGAGTATGTAGTTTGGTTAGTTACATCCAATTGTTGGGACCGCCGTTGTGTTTGTGGTGGCTTGGGTGGTAATAACCCTAACCCTGGAGTCTCTGCTGTAATCACGTGCCGGGTCCGCACTTTAATGGGCACGCGTCCGTCGCGTCTCTTTCCGTCCCCACGCTCACCACCACCAACGCGTCTTTTTCGCGACTGGAGCTCCCTTCACGCCTTTGTGATCCATTGGACCTTATTGGCTGTGGGCCAAGCTTTCCGACCTCAGCCTTGC